GTTTGTTCACAGTTAGTTGAGGCAATTTAACTGGACACAAAGCATACAAATCATGTGGTACATTTGGTACTTTAGTACATGTTTTTACAGCATAATGTACATATTACTTTTCATGTTTGTGTGGTTATCTTGTGTTCTTTGCTTAAACCAGAATATTTGGATGACATTGTTGTCTACTCTGATGACTGGGTTAGTCACATGGCTACCTTGAGGCACGTTTTTAAAAGGCTGGTTGATGAACTCTCAACCTTCCTAAATGTGACTTTAGAAAAGATTCCGTCTTGTATCTTGGTCAGCAAGTTGGTCAAAGCCAAGTGCGCCCTGTGGATGCGAAGATCTCAGCTATTGCTGCATTTCCTGAGCCAACCACCAGCCAGGATTTATGTCGGTTTCTTGGGATGGCTGGGTACTACCGCAGATTCTGCAAAACACTTCTCTACTGTGGCAGCCCCACTGACTGCTCTAACCAGTCCACTGAAGCCTTTTGCTTGGTAAATGCCAACAATGCCTTTTGAGGATCTCAAGTGCATGCTCAGTTGTAACCCTGTCTTGTCTGCTCCAAACTTTTCCTTGCCTTTTAAGCTTGAAGTGGAGCTAGTGCTGTTGGAGCTGGGGCTGTACTTCTACAAGAGGATCTCCAGGGCATTGACCATCCTGTAGATCACTTTTAAAGGAAGTTCGACAAACATCAACTCAGGTCTTATCAGGTGCTATTGAAAAGGAACCCCTTGCATTGTTGTATGCTTTACAACATTTTGAAGTCTACCAAATAGTCCATGGTCAACTCCTCCAGGTCACTTCATCTGCTGGAATGCCATCTCCACCACCCACACCACCTGCTTCCCCTTCCCTTCTCCTGCTCCTCTGTCAGTAAGCCCTAGTCTCCCACTGGGTCCCTGTTTTAGTCTGTCTTTGTATTGTTAATGGTAATTCCCCCGTTCGTGATTTTTTTTTTTTTTTTCTCTCCTTCCTGACTTGGTTTTAATATACTCGGGTTTGTTCATTTGTGGTTTACTTGTTTGTTCTTTTGGTTTGTAATTAGTCCTCCCTTCCTTTTGGTGTCATAGTTCACATTTTCTAGTGTCCCTTGACTTCCTAGTATTTCCTGTCGTAGTTATTTTTGAAATTCACTATTCACTTTAGCTTAGCTTGTGTTTCCTATGTAAATTTGTATATACACTTGTAAATATTGTCTGTGTGTGTATACACTCTTTCCACCGTGTCTGTGTTCACGATTGAGTCTCCGAGTCTGTTCCGTGACACTATTCCAGACTTCAGTTGGTCCAAAATGTAACAGCAATAGTACCCATTGATAGGTGTCCACAGATGAGATATAACAAACATTATTTTGTGCTTATTAATGATAAACAGTAGGACTTCAAGTAACAGACTTACCTCAAGGAGGAGTAAGGGGTGAATGGAAACATCAAAGTATGAGGACACAAAAAGCATTTTTGTTCTGAAAATATCTATTACATTCAACAGTCAAGGTTTTACTCTGATCACAGTAAAAATTTATTCCACATATCAGATTGAATATAAAAATCCCACACAATGCACATGACTGACATATTTTGAAAATAGGACCATGTCGATTTAGATGTAGCTTCAAATGTCACACATCTGACACACAACCTGACACTGAATTTAAAATCATAGTGGTACATCATCAGTGCTTTCAGAAAGCAAAAGAATTTGCTTTCATTATATGAACATAACAGTTTTTCAAGCAAAGTCCAATTCTACAAGCAACATAAATGTGTTCAGTTTATACATTTGGGTAATGTACTAAAACTGCAAAAATAGAGAAATAAATGAGTTTTAAACAATGGGTTAAAGCTCTTCTTTCTTCTTCAAGATTATCTGTCGCACCATTTCAGCTATTTTTGGTCGGATTTCTTTAACACTAACTTTTGGTCCCCAAGCATCCACCACTTTTCCGTGTACATCAATGAGATACTTCCAGAAATTCCAATCAGGCTCCTTTCCAGATAGCTCTGTAAAGTATAAGAGATAAAAGGTATGTTACGGCTTACACACTTCCTCGAATCTCTTTTCTTTATTGCAGGTAACTCCCACAGGAAAAAACATGTGACGCCATCTGTGACACTTTCTTCAATATACTAGAATTAGTTTTCATTTTTGTTTGTATGTAATCTTGGACACAAGCACATATAGAATTGCAGTGATGATCTCCTCCTCACTGGCAAGATAACTGTAGGAAATGATACATGTTTAACTATTTTCAGACATTTTGTACACAAATTAACTGATGACTGAACATAATTGGCAGATTAATTGATAATGAAAATGATTGTTAGAGCAGCTCTAAACATTGCATCTTACTCACCAACAAGGTACTTGTAGACATTGTTGGCTCCGGTTCCTACCACAGCAATTTTGCTGAACAATGGGAAGGAGACTCCGTAGACTCTGCGTACAAAGCTGTCAATCTCCTTGTCGCTGCCGGGCTCCTGTTGCCCAAACTGGTTGCAGGGGAAGGCCAGCACATTGAAGTGATATGGGCCAAAGTCCCGTTGGAGCTGCTGCAAGTCTTTGTAGTGTTCCTCCGTAAAGCCACATTCGCTGGCTACATTTACCACCAGGGATACCTAAAGCCACAGAAATGCACTGTAAGACTCTACAATACCAGTCCTGATTTCAAATGAGTCAGAAAGTTGTCTTACGTACACAACGTGCTGAAAAGTACCTAAGTAAATTTTACTCAACAGCAGGTTCAGGTTTGGGCCAGTTGCAATGTTTATGAGACATTAGCAGTTGCATTAAAGAGTAAATAAATAATCTTTCCTGGCTCAAACAAGTAGCAGTATCAAATATCCCACAGCCCAAACTCCAACATATGAGCATAAATTTGTGTGAATAGGATTGCTCTCTTTACAACCCCATGTGATTAATGCTATGAAACTATGGTGAATCCAACCCACAGGTGGTGGTTTTAACTAGTGAAAAGAGTGAACTGAGTTTTTTAGACACTATGTGTAAATAAGTACATTTCACTGCAAATACTTCAGTACTTTTACCTAAACTTTTTCCAACCCTTGAGGTTTCGTTACTGAGGCCAAGTAATATCTGTTTTTAAAATGCAACCAGCTCCTATTTTAAGAGGTTGCTAAGCAGGGGCACATTTTCTAAAGAAGTCACCTGATAGTACTATGACTAAAATTACAGTAACATTCCTTTGCCTAATTTCTGTTTTATCAACTTTGATAAAGTTACAGTTGAGAATTTTGGTGCTTAATTTAGAATCTTGATATAGCAAAAGTGAAACTATCAAATTGTTACTCAGGCTTACTGGTGTCTTCCAAGCATTTTTGATCGATAGAGCCCATTGTGGGGTCCTACAGCTGTAAAACTGTTACTTACTTAATTGGGGTGTTTTTTTGTTTTGTTTTGGTTTTTTTCCCACCAAACTCGCCTCGACTTAAACATTATGTAGGATTATAGAGACAGGAATTTACTCAGAATGGATTCAATTAAATCACAGTTTTGTTTATTTTGCTCAAATAAAGTGGCTACTATAGATTATTAAAAAAACAAAATTAAAAAATACGATTACATTAACCTATGGGTCATTCCATCTCAAGTCACCAGATTTCAAAAAACTCTTCCTGCATGACCATGTCAGATTGAGCTAAAAAAGTTTAGGGATAGAGGTATATCATCAAGATGGTATAATCCCAAGTTTTAGGGTCATAACTGTCATACTGTTGCGACAAAAAATAGTGAAAAAACCCACTCCATTGATGACAAGACTCTAAATTTTGATGACAATATCTCAAGAAGCATGTAGGGTATAGACTTCACATTTGAGAACACATTTAGAGGTGTTTAAATCCCATATTACAGGTACCCTACCTTAGTGCATATGCTGAGATTCTATAGCTGTTCAATGTAAGCAAATAACACCCAAGACCATCTTTGTACACCCATAAAACACAGGGTTTACAGTAGAAGTCTGAAATTTTTGTGATACATAGTCCAATATGAGGTGTTTCAATATACCCACTTTCACCATAGAAAGTGTGCTCATCAGCTGCATCTCTCTGTGGTATGCCAGCAGCACTGTCTCTGACAGAAAGGCACTGAGGTGGGTGGTGAGGGCAGCTGAGAAAATCATTGGCGTCCGCTGCCACCGGTTGAGGGCTTGGCTCAACAACAGTGCCTGGGACAATACACACCCCTGTCACAAACTCTTCTTTTCTTGTGCCTTCAGGCAAGAGGTCCCGCAGCCTGAAGTGCAAAAACCACAAGGTTTTGTAACAGTTTTTACTCCTCCGCCATCAGACACATAAATTCTCAGGACACTTAAAAACCCGTTTGTATGGTGCAACAAATTTGTCGTTGGTTTAATAAGTTTTATTTCTGCCGCAGCAGTGCAATACTGGTTTTTAGTATTGATTGATTTATTTTTTTAGGCCTGTAGTGCAATCTAAAATGGTTTCTAATTTGATATATTCGTGTTCCCGTCTGTGCCTTTTACCACTTCTAAGTTTATCTTTTTTTTTAAGTGTCTGTGACCTGTGCTCGTAATTCACTTCTAAGTGCATTTTAATTTCTTTTGATGTCCTAATTGAATGACAATAAAATCTATATATCTATCTATCTATCACATACAGCCTCGGAGATACTGACCCTCAAAGATGGTAAATATCACAATTTTACTCAACTTTATGCGCAATTTGTCAGTAAATGATAGGTCATACCAACACATAATTGAAATCATTTAAAAGAGAATGTTCCTAACTTGTCATGGTCAAAAATTCAAATCTTTTTTCAGTTTTGTTGAACAAATTTCAGAAATGTTGATCCTAAATGCTTTCATTTGTTTTGTTTTTTTTGCTAAAAAAAAAAAAAAATCACTTATGCACTTTATTTAGTAGCTGGGATTGTAGATAGACATAGTAGATATCCTCAATGGATAGCTGATCAATGTTGATTAAATTTCTGGGCCTGCAAAAAAAAAACTGAGGAACAACAGTTACTGAAACACAGGGCTGACTTAAATGAAATTCCTCCCGACTAAACAGTTTGCCTGCACTACAAGAAGATCGGTTTGGATCTATACAGTCACCTGAAAACAAGCTGCTGTAATCCATTTGAGTTTCATTCTGTCCCTGTCAAGAAAAAAAATAGAATTCTCAACTTAAAACAAGCTTCAGATTTGAGTTTGAAGACTAAGAATGGAGATTATCACTTTTGCTTAACTAGTCTTCAATCTTGAACATGTCAAACTGACAGAACATAAATTAACATTTTTACCAAAAATTTAAACTTCTTAAAAATCTTTGTGTAGTCCAGCTTGTGGCAGCTTTCTGAAACTTTTAGTGTATGTCAATTGAGCATACATCCAAGGAATCCATTATATGTATACTTATTTATTTGGCGAAAAACAAACTGAAACAACTAAATAGTCCTTTTTCCACACATAATAACCAAAAAACTTAACATTTTGTATGGCCTCCTTTGGCTTTGATAGCAGCATGCATTCTTGTTGGCATTGTTTTTATGTACTTCTTGACAGTGTCTTTTACTATTAGGTTCTAAATAGTTTCTAGCTGTTCCCACATACTTGCTTTAGAAGAAACTTTTGTGTGATCAATCTTTGAATGTACTACACTTAGTTCAATAGGAGTCAAATCCAGACTTTGACTTGGCCAGTCCATCAGTTCCAGAACTCCAGATTACTTTTTCTTGGTCAAATAGTCTCTGCACAGCTCTGAAGTATGCTTGACGTCACTGTCCTGTTAGTGTATGAACCCACGACTAATCAGATTCAGTCCAGAAGGGATTCCATGATGCACTAAGATGTTGTGGTAGATGTTATTGTTCATGATACCATCCATTTTCACTACTTTGCCCTTGCCGTTTCCACAAATGGAACCCAAATGGAATACCACAATGGAATCTACATTGTGTTTCACTGTGGGTGCAATGCATCTGGTATCAAAATGTTCTTCAGCTTTTTTTTTCAGGCATAAACAAAACAATGTTAACCAAAGAGTTCAAACCTAGACAGGGTAACTTCTTCTAGTCATCAACAGTCCAGTGTTTGAGTTCCCTGGCAAATCTGGGGCATTTCTGTATGTTTCCAGTCCTCAATGATGGCTTCTTATCAGCTATTCTTCCCTTTAAGCCTTGTTCCATCAGTCGCCTGCTTATGGTCATTCTGGAGACTTTCTCAGACTCTGATCTAGAAGCATTCATCTCTGCCTGAAGATCAGCAGTGGTCTTCCTACTGCATCTAGTACTTCAAATCTTGAGGTGTCTAACATCTGCTTTAGTTAACCTTTTGTTTCCTGCCTCTTCCTTGACGCATTTTGTAAGTACCAGTCTCAGCAATTGACTCCAAAGCATACGAGACCACACTTTTTCTTTCCCTATTTGTCTCAGAGACCATCCAGCATCATGAAGTGCTGTAATGTGGACTCTTTCACATTGAGTGAGCTCTCGACATTTTACCACTTTGAACAGAAATGAAGAATTTCAAACTGAATTCACCTTTTCATACCCAGATTTGAGCCGGCTCACTGGGCTTCTCTGAGAAGTCAGAAATTAATCAAGCACAACATTCAACCACGAAAACTATTTTTCTGTTCAGGAATGCAGGTAAATAATGACAATTTGACATCTTAATCAAGAAATAATAATGTGCTTTACTATTTTTTTCTTTTTTTTTTGTAAAACAGTAAATTTGAAAATTCATGGATAACAATAATAATCATATTTTGCCATCAAAATTAGAATTTTGGTTAAANCTGCTTATGGTCATTCTGGAGACTTTCTCAGACTCTGATCTAGAAGCATTCATCTCTGCCTGAAGATCAGCAGTGGTCTTCCTACTGCATCTAGTACTTCAAATCTTGAGGTGTCTACCGTTGGCTTCAGTTAACCTTTTGTTTCCTGCCTCTTCCTTGACGCATTTTGCAAGTACCAGTCTCAGCAATTGACTCCAAAGCATACTTGACCACACTGTCAGAAGTCTTCATGTTTTTCCCTGTTTGTCTCAGAGACCATCCAGCATCATGAAGTGCTGTAATGTGGACTCTTTCACATTGAGTGAGCTCTCGACATTTTGCCATTTTGAACAGAAATGAAGAATTTCAAACTGAATTCACCTTTTCATACCCAGATTTGAGCCGGCTCACTGGGCTTCTCTGAGAAGTCAGAAATTAACCAAGTATAACATTCAACCACTAAAACTATTTTTCTGTTCAGGAATGCAGGTAAATAATGACAATTTGACATCTTCATCAAGAAATAATAATGTGCTTTACTATTTTTTTTCTTTTTTTTTTGTAAAACAGTAAATTTGAAAATTCATGGATAACAATAATAATCATATTTTGCCATCAAAATTAGAATTTTGGTTAAAGAGCTTCAACATATTGGTATATTAACCATTACAGAAACAGAAAAAAATGATTTGGGTAATCACCAATGCTGTTCATTTAGGGCACGCGTGGCATAAACCTTAAACTGGGTAGTGGTTTAGTAAATTTGTTAAGCACTGTATATGCAGAAACCAGACATTTACATACACTGTATAGACACATAACCTTTTCTCTCTCACTATCCGACATTAAATCAGACTAAACCTTTCCTTTTTTAGGTCGGTTAGGATTACCACAATTATTTCTATTTGCTAAATGCCAGAGTAATGAGAGATTTTTTATAATTTTTTTTATTACTTTCTTCAAGGTCAGAAGTCTACATACATTTCCTTAGTATTTGGTAGCATTGCCTTTAAACTGCATGACTTGGGTTAAATGTTTTCGGTTTCCTTCCACAAGCTTCTCACAATAGTTTGATAGAATTTTGGCCCATTCCTCCTGACAGAACTGGTGGACCTGTGTCTGGTTTGTTGGCCACTTTGCTCACACACGCCTTTTCAGCTCTGCCCACACATTTTCTATGAGACTGAGATCAGGGCTTTGTGATGGCCACTCCAAAACATTGACTTTGTTGTCCTTAAGCCTTTCTGTAACTAATCTGGCGGCATGCTTAGGGTCATTGTCCATTTGGAAGACCCTTTGGTGCCCAAGCTTTAACTTCCTGGCTGATGTCTTGAGATGTTGCTCCAGTATTTCCATTTGATGTTCTTTCCTAATTATGCCATCTATTTTGTGAAGTGCACCAGTCCCTCCTGCAGCAAAACACCCCCACAACATGATGCTGCCACCCCCGTACTTCACAGTTGGGATGGTGTTCTCAGGCTTGTACGCTTCCCCCTTTTCCCTCCAAATATAACGATGGTCGTTATGGCCAAACAGGTCAATTTTAGTTTCATCAGGCCACAGGACATGTCTCCAAAAATTAAGGTCTTTGCCCCTGTATGCATTTGCAATCTGTAGTCTGTCTTTTTTATGTTGCTTTTTGAGTAATGGCTGCTTCCTCTCCTCCTTTTTCAGCCCATGTTGGTACAGGACTGGTTTCACTGTGGATAATAACACTCTCTTAACAGCTTCAGCAGCATCTTCACAAGGTCTTTTGCTTTTGTTCTGGGGTTGATTTGCACATTTCACACTAAAACACGTTCATCTCTGGGACACAGAACCCGTCTCCTTCCTGAGTGTTATGATGACTTGACATTCCCATGGTGTTTATACTTGCATATAATTGTTTGAACAGATGAACGTGGAACCTTCAGGCATCTGGAAATTGTACCCAAGGATGAACCAGACTTGTGGAGGTCCACAATTGTCTTCCTGATATTATAGTTGATTTCTATAGATTTTCCCATGTTGTCAACAATGGAGGACACCAACCCGTACCTGGTATATATACCTATAGTTTTTCAAGATCTCACAAACGTTATTGCGAGATCCCGAGAAAGTTCTGCGAGGTCTCGCAAAAGATACCTCTATTTTTTTTTTTTCCCCTCCCCTTAATATTGCCTTTCATTGAACAGGCTACAGAATCTCAGCATATGCATTGAGGTACCTGTAATGTGGAATTTAAACACCTCTAGTGTAAGGGAAATGTGTTATCATATTTATTGTATTAAATTAATTTAAATACTTCTTGAGATAATGTCATCCAAAGTTAGGATCTCAGTCCAAATTTGGCAAAAACTACAAAACATATATTTCTTTTATTATTTTTTTGTCACAAAAACTATGAAAGCTACGACCCTAAAACTTGGGATTGTGCCATCTTGATGATAATACTCAATCCTCAAATTTGTTTTATCCCAATCTGAAATGGTCATGCGGGAGTCATCTGGTAAATTGAGGAGGAATGACCCCCATGATTGATAAAGGCATCACACAAACAATCAATTAGTTGTCAGCTGTTGGTTTGTTAACTATTTCAATATTGATTTGAGAAATTTTAAAAGAATTAACAGTCAAAATGCTAAATTCCTTAATGTGAATATTTTCAGGTTTCTTTCCTCCTTAATGACTGAATATCTTTTCATTGTGGACAATTACAACACTTGTCATCTGGGGCTTTGAAAAACACTGATTGCATTTTTCCCCCATTTTGTGACATTTTAATCCAAACAACACCATAACTAGTAAAACTGTGATTCAGTCAAAAAAGGAGTTTGCTTTCGAAACTAACAGGTGTCCAGTTAAAGATTCGCAGTGCTACACAGGCCAGGTGCGCAACACAGAAATAGATGAGTACATTCATGCAGTATGTCTATTTTCAGTCATCCAGGTCATAGTCATATGAAGATTCAGTAAACACACCTAGACTTTTGTTTTAGGCTCTTGAGGACATTTCACCTCTCATCTAAGAGGCCTCATCAGTTGACTGAGAAGAACTGAAGATGCCTCTTGATGAAAGGTTAACCATCTTCCAGAGGCTAACAGAAAAGAAGCTCCCTGGATTATGTTAGTGCAGGTTAATATATACTGCAGCTTCATGCTTCATGCCACAGCAGCTTTTTGCTGCAAGAGTCAGCACATGCATTCGTTGATATAATTTTCCCTCATGCAGTTCAATGATCCTATCGTCTAGTGACATCTGGAGTCATCATGAAGAAACTGCAAGTGTGGTGTATCTGAGGCGGTATTATGGAGCTGTGTGCATTACACTAGATCCTGACGTAAAACTAAACGGTCTGCCATGTACATATGACATGTTTTAAATGCCCTGAGTAAGTGGTATGGTAGAACTTGGAACAATGTGTGAAGGAGATTTTCACCTCAGACACCAGAAGGATTGTGTATATTTTTAATCTTTTAATGGTGTTTAAGGGAGCATCACTGGAAGTTCAGCTTAACTGAGGGACTTTATTGTTGCTATTCATGTAAAAATTAAGGTCAAGCCCAATATGATTATTTATACATTATGGATCGAAAATGTCAGGCTTTATACTATATAAAACATCATAAATCACATACATGGAGTGCTGCCCTCAGAAACAATAAGTTTTTTAAAAAATCACAAAACTAAATCATGCAGTCTCATTTAATGCCAATAAAATAACAAATGAAATGTGGAGGTAGTACTGTAAACTTTTGCAGATTGATTAAGGTTAGTCCGGATTAGTGCTCCGTACCTGGTTTGAATGAGAACCATGGAGCTCCTGCAGTTCTGCAGGCCTCCTGCCACGTAGGCTAGCGAGGCTACATGACGGACATCCCAAGCAGGCACACTGATCCGCAGCTATTATGTTAGTCACATCTACAACACAGTGTTAAGAGGGAGAAGTGAAAGAAAGAAAAAAGGAAACATTCCCCTGCCACGTTCATTCATGCAACCGGCTGACATTAAGAGAGAGAACTCAGCAAAACACTGCAACATCACCAATATACGGTGTAATAATGAGCTGGACTTACCGAACCCCGGTATTTCTCCAGGGACACCAGCTTCCCCCTGCTATTCACCACTTTAAAGGTGTAAAAGTCTTTCTGTTTGCTGTCACTGAGGCTCAACAAAGTCAGCAACACGGTGAGCGCCGCGAAAAGCATCCTTACAGCCAAACTCTCAGCGTCAAACTGGAACAAACTTCTCTAAACCTTTCGGTTTTTGTCCGACGGCTATTGAACACCCCACAGTCTGGGCTCCGACCAGTTGTGAAGTTACACACACGTAGGACAACAGTTCCTGAACCGGCCGACCCCTACAAAATAAAAGCCTTTAAAAAAAACAGTCTGCTTAAAAATGTACCCCTTTTAGTTGAATCATGGTCAATTTACGTTTATTTTTTGGGAGACAAAAAAAATCACAAAAAGAAAAAAAAAGAAAAAAGCCAATTTTAAATCTCTACTAGAATTCACCAGAAGGAATACGAGAGACTCTGAAGTCAAATGGAAGAAGATCCTTTGGTCTAATGAGACCAAAATTGAGCTTTGAGTCATCAAACTAGACACTATGTTTGCCACTGTGAAGCATGGTGGTGGCAACATCATGAGGGGGGATGCTTCACAAGCGCAGGCCGTGAAAAGCTTGTAAACTGAATGCAGCAAAGTATAACGGAATCCTGGAGAACAACCTGACACAGTCTGCAACAGAACTGCGACTTGGGGGAAAATGTGTTTTCCAGCAAGACTATGACCCACAACTTACAGCCAAAGCTGCATAGAAATGGCTTAAAGGCAACAAGTGAATGTTCTGGAGTGGCAGAGTTGAAGCCGGGACCTCCACCCAACCGAGAATTTATGGTTGGACTAGAAAAGGCTGTTTACTTACAATGTTTGCTTGCGATACATAACAGAACATAAGCAGTTTTGCAAAGAAGAATGAAGTAAAATTGCAGTGTCCAGACGTGCAAGGCTGATTGAGACCTATCCTTGCAGGCTCAATGCTGTGGTTGCAGCCAAATGTGCATCTTCATACTAAATACGAGCTTGACAGGGTATATATATATATGCAAATTCTTGTGAAAAAAGCCAGATGACATTGATCACAATTCACTGTTGAAAAGCAATAACTGTGGAAAACTTTTAAGAGAGTCGATACTTTTTATAGGCACTGTATGTACACACATGCTTACAAAATTTATTAGACCACCTCTCAAATTCGTTAAGTCATGGAAAAAGATGATTAGACCTCCCTTGTTTTCTTCAATTTCTTGTTCATTTTAATGCCTGATACAACTAAAAGTACATTTGTTTGGACAAATATGACAACAAAAATAGCTCATAAGAGTTTCATGTAAGAGCTGATATCTAGCCATTTTCCATGGTTTTCTTGATAATAACCAAAACCACTTAAGTTCTTACATCAATAACGATGGCATTGTACTTGTACTGCCAAAAACAGTGCTTTTAGGCATTCCATGTTTTCTTTTCTGTCTGTTTTAGTCACATGACACACACAGGAGTTAGTACTTGATTACATAACCATTGTTTTTGATGACTGCAGCCATGCATCTTGGCATGCTCTCCATCAGCTTCTGACATTGTTCTGCTGACACAGCAGTCCATTCCTGTTGCACAAATTCAAACAAATATGCTTTGTTTTTGAGCTTGTGGTTCTCCATTCTGCGTTTGAAGATTTTCCACAGGTTTCCAACTGGATTTAGATCTGGTGATTGAGCAGGCCAAGGCATGGTTGGAATGTTCTGGTTCTTCATCCAGGCTTTCACTGACATTGCCATGTAGCAAGGGGCATTGTCTTGATGGAAAATCCAGTCATTCAGGAAAGAGGCAGGAAAGAGTTTTCCAGCTGATGGAAGAAGACTGTTTTCAAGAGTAGCCCTGTACATGACCTGGATCATTCACCCTTCACACAATTGCACACACAGTTAGTGTAATGAACGGCTGTCTTGGAGATCTTCAGTTTTTTCGCCACCTGTCTCTCACTCATGCCAATTTCCAGCAGTTCCAGCAATTTTGGCTTTTCTACTTTATGTTTACATTTTGAGATAGTACACTTATTTGCTTTTATTTTGACCTTGCTTGTATCTTTACTTATATGTTGCTCTTGTTTTACATTGTACATATTATTTATTAGGCTTTTTAAACACCAGGATCTGAGTGCTAAATTCGTATTCACAAACATTCGTATCACAAACATGTAAATGTGAGCTGGCATGACAATAAGAGTTCATTGAATTCTTGAATATTTTTTTGTATTTTCTTGTGTTTTTAGTTTGAGGGAATGACCTACATACTGAAAACCTTAATAAATTATGAGCCTGTGAAAGAGTGTAGAGTATCATTTATATTTTGCTGCA